TCCCTCCCGGAAGCAAAGCGAAAAAGAATACCCCCGATATATTTTATGATTTCCATTTCTATTCCTTCTCGAAATAATTGCGATATGAATTTCGTCCCAAAATATTAGCATATCATTTCCTCTTATATGCGAAATCTTTGCCCGGGCCTATCCTAAAAACGCCCCCCTAAACCAGAGGCTAGCTTTCTCCTCACATTAAAAATATATAATTAATTATATCGATTTAGAACTATTGTATATTCTTAAAATAAGAAAACAATTTTATATTTAATTTTAATTTAGTAATAAAACAAACATAAAATAATATATAGAACATATTAGTTGAATTTTAAATTAATATTGAACATTTCTTTTATTATATAAATTATTAGTCGATATTATAAAATAAAAAATAAACAAAAAATCAACCGAAATGCGAAATAACGCTATTTCATATATAAATTTAAACGATTATCCAAATTAATGAAATTTTAAATATTTTCTTTTTTTATAAAATCTATTTTTTAATATTATTATTAAGATATATATAACTACTAATTTCATTTCATTTCAACTTCCAGCAACCTCGTCGTTGGGTTGCCCGTGTTGGGCTGCAATCTAGGGATTCCTAGCCGGATACTTCAGGAGTGTCTGGCACCATGTCTCGAAAAGGCTGCCAAAAAGCGGTCAGGCAAGACGATCGCTCAGCAATTCATCAAAATTCTTTGGCCTAGTTGGCAAAGGACGACTCCAATTGCTATTAGTGCAACATTTGAGAACGATCCAAATGAGGTAGATGGATGCAGCCACCTCTGGGTCATAGCCGAGCGGCATGGTAACACGAAAATCATCACATGACAGGACTGTGCCGCTGTGCCATAGAATGCAACGATAGTGGCCTTCAGTCGGGGCATTGTCCAAATGGATGATTCCAATTGTTACGACAAAATTATGCCACTCCCCATGGATGCCTCGGCGTTCACTGAAGACTAGGATTTGCAGCGGGGTACAACGATCCCACACGACCGAACAAGTGCTTTTCAGGCCAAATTCAGGAAACCTGGATTTCTGGAGACAGATCCAAGGGGAATTTTGTGAAAAACACATGAACGAAAGGCTCCTGATGATGCCAATTCAACCCAAATTGTTGCAATATGATTATGCCTTCTATTGGACATGCCATGGGAATTGGGGGAAAAAAGACTGCCTGGTCTTCAATCGTGTTCAATAGTCTGGCGCTCCAGCCAGCTTGCATGTAGTGCGGAAGCGTCTTTTCCAGCAGGCGTTGACGGAACCATCCGGCGAATTCACCGGCGTCATGTTGAGCATGCGTCGAATGGGTGGCGAACCAATCGACAAACGTGCGATCCAATAAACGATCTGCACATGGGTCAATAACGGTCCCGGCATGTTCAACTAGCATGCTCAAAAGTTGCTTCTCCCATGTTCCCCAAATGGCTGTATTGAAAATCTGATTCATCGTACAGCTCCAGGTTTATGCCAAGATCACGCTATTGATATAATACGTGCATCCTAAGCCCCCCAGCCGAGCCGCAAGAATTGCCTTCATGATCTCCTCAATCGTTGGGAGATGGCATTGGCTAAAGGAGAGCGTTGCAGATTCGCTAATCTGATCTTCAGGAGCACCAATTGTGTGATTCCATTGCCTGATAATTTCTGAAACAATTGGAACATCTCCATCGTTTCGGGAGCTCGCAAGCTAAGATCGAGGCGCCAAGGAATTGCTACCGAAACATCCTGTGGTAAGTTCTCCTGGTTCACTGGGCGCAAGATTGAGAACTTTGATCACCGAGGGCTGCTGCCCAATGTGGGCAATGCGCTCCAGGAGGGATCGAACTTCCTCTGAGGTCAAAGGCTGGATCTTGTTGGGTTTGAGCATCATGGCCTGAGAATCCCATGTGAGGTAAGCCCATTTGTGATCCTCCGCCAAAACGCCTTTGGACCTCAAATTCTGAATCAAGGCGTCGTCGCTTGCTTCTAATTTCAATTGCTTGGCCCATTCAGCTAACTCCTGAATATAATGAAGAAACATCGTCATCCGAAGAGGCATGGTCACCTCGCCCTTCTCCTTGAGTTGGTTCCATTCGCGGGCCTTGGTCAATATATTGGGCATGATATTGCCTCGAGCACATTGAATGAAGAACATGTAGCTCCTGTCGAGGCTCAACTGAGGCAAGGCGTCCTCTTGTCTCAAGGATAGGCGGACCAGCATGCGCAACAACTCTTCGTCTCTGCCTCCATTCGACGTTGATGCCGAGGACTGTGAGGATCGAGGCGTATGACCCTTGCCAGGTCTGCGCGTCCCATCCGAGGTGGCCACCGTCTGTCTTTTGCCTAGGTTCTGTGCGCAAGCATCGAGGAGATCTGCAAAAATTTGATCGTCTGTACACATCTCTTCGACCATCCTGCTGCGTGTATTCACACCACAACTTCCAATCTTGGGCCAACGTGTGCTCGAGCAAATGCAGGGCATCATGTAGATCATGCAGTTGATCC